AGTTAATATCTCGGGAACCACGAAGTCTAGGAGGCTGAAATTTTAGGGTAATGACCCCCTGCCCACCCTCAAACTTGCCCATTCAAATTCAGCCCTCCCTTACCCGCGGGTAACACGTACGGCCCCGTGAAAGTTATTCACGGGTAAGTTAATATCTCAGTAACCACGGAGTCTAGGAGGCTGAAATTTTAGGGTAATGACCCCCTGTCCATCCTCAACCTTGGCCATTCAAATTCAGCCTTCCCATGCCTGCGGGTAACACTTACGGCCCCGTGAAATTTTTTTACGGGTAAATTAATGTCTCGGGAACCACAGAGTCTAGGAGGCTGAAATTTTAGGGGAATGACTCTTACCCCCGCTCAAACTTGTCCATCCAAATTCAGCGTTCTCGCTCTCTCGGGTACCACCTACGGCCTCGTGAAAATTTTGGCGAGTAAACTATTAACTCGGATCACGCATCCTTCAAGGTTTCGAATTCAGCTTTCATGCGCTGGTGCGTGAAATTTCTAACCATTTTTCAATGTTTCAACTATTTTTGCATGGACTAAAGTACAAAGCAGCGAAAATTATTAACAGGCAATCGTTCGATTGGCTGAATTGCACAAAACGCATGATCGCACCGGCTAGTCTGGTGTGCGTTGCAATTTATTCATTTTTGCTCCGCTCCAGGTGGCAATGATTGTGTACTCTGGACTCAGCTATCGACGTGAGGTATTCAAATGGAATTTCGCCAAAAATAACCAGGAATTCCAAAAAGTGGTGCTCGGGCTACGTGCAATTGGCGGTACGACTAATACCAAGTGTGGATTTCTCTCTTGTCGTTCTCTAATTTTGCATTTATACATTAAGTTTGTCAATCGCACTGAATTTACGTCGTGAAAGTGCTCTCTTTTCTTGTGAGTTCTTTAGCATTTTCGCAAGCGCAGGGTTCCTGGAAAACTACGGTGTGACACTGCAGTGCACACTAATCATCGATTCATATGTGATCACAAATAAAACCATTACGAGGCTACTGGTGGAAGTCTGATGCATGCCGGTCAAAAAAACGACATTCATATATTGTCCTGGCTGAAGTTGTATGCCTGAAGTTACTGGAAAATGGACAGTGGGTAGTAGCGTTAACCAGGTGACAAACGACAAAGCGCGGCACACGTGTAGTTATGTCTAGAAGACATCGCCATGAATGTTAAAGCAGCCTTCGTGGTGATTTATTGCCATTCGGATTATTTCACTGCTTTTTATACCGATTGTCTCATGAGAAAGAGAGGCAGGTAAATAGCGGGCAGCCTGTTTTAATGACGCCATCCGAATGATGAGGAGGATGTTTTCGTTGGACGAAGTTGGCGCAGGATTGGAAAAGTGAAAAAAAAAATCAGCGTCAACATCCCTGTGGTTTTGTAAGTTTTGGAAAAATAAACGTGTGTAAAACTTAGATATGGATTTCCCTGAATTCACCGTGTTTAAAAAATATAATTTTTCTAAAATCTTTGCAGAAAAGCGTTGGAAATTGGTCTTGATTTGATGCAAACTCGTAACACGTCGATTCCAACGCTGATAATGGTTGTTACCGATGGCCGAAGCGCTGATGATCCCAAAATTCCGGCAAAACAACTGCAAGACATTCCAAACACCTGGGTTTTTGCCGCAGCGACTGGGAACCCGCAGGCTGTTGACAAGTATCAATTCATTTTGAACAGTGTAAAATGAGAGGAAACTAGAATTCCCCAGAAATCATTCCTCAAAAACAGTAGAAATTGATAACACTAAGAAGAAGAGGCACGTATAACTCGCCTGATTTATTGATGCAGTTTTGTCAGGGCCCAAACAACCTAAACATATATCACTGAGATCGCTACGATGTGAACTTGCACGTTTATCGGGCGCAGCAATGCCTTGCCCTTCCATTCTAAAGATCTTTCCGAACGCATGTTTCCTTTGTCCCCGGTTCCACTTGCCAACACGTAATGCATGCAAGCAAGGCGAACAAAATTTCTCAGTCACTGGATTCTACTTTCTCTTTTGGTCGCAACGATCTGCATATAGTTCTCCTGATCGATGCCTAATGAGCGCGTAAGACACTCCAGGCTTCTTTACCTGCTTGCTTCATACTGGAATTCAAAATCAGCCCGAATTTAAACCACAGGTTACAGCGTTTGATGAAGCAAGATTATGGCAGCCCTTTTCAGCTATTTATTTGTTCTCAGTTTATTAAATTACCATATTTCGGATTCTGACTTTTGGTATGTGGGCTTACCACGGTAATAAACTGCAACCTCCTAGCCGTTATGGACCCTAAGTTAATTTACAGACATAAACATACATACACCACCATCACATACACTTGGGTGTTTGAGCGTGCACATGCATGGAGATATCATCTCATCATAATGCATTTTAAACAAACCAAAACATTAAGGTTACTGTAGCCGATAAACTTGTGTACGTATTTTTCAGTCTCTTTGTCCTAGGGAAACCGAAATTTCGGGAGCATAAAGCGGGGAGATCCTTTACGGTTTGCAAGCTAGAAGTCAAATTACAATTTTTTCTGACCATGATTTTCTGAGTTACTGGATGCGTATAGATTCATGCCAAGCTGTTGCAGCTCGCAAGAATTAGCAAAACTTGTACCATATGATGTGCAATGCTACCTGAAATTGGTACGCAGCAGAGATATTGATCACGACATATACAATTTGAAATCATGTTAGAAAATTAAAAGGAACAGGATGTTTCAGCTCTTCAGGTCGTAGACATTCCTATCCAACACTGTTTTTGTAGTTCGTTAGTGCGATGATTGTGGCGTCAATAAAATAAATAAACAAGATGAAATAAATATGCATAAGAAATTAGCTTGTAATTTCAATGAGTAAAAAGAGATCAAATTTAAGAAATGACAAAAAAGAGAAGCAAAGAGCAGGGACCAACTGTAAAGACAGTTTATAAAAAGTTTGAGAAATTTCAATTATCGATGTTGGTCCAGCATTGTAAAAAATTTTAAATTTCAATGCTTGTAAATAGGTACACCAATAATTTTATAAATTTAACAGCAAAAATTTTGTACATATCATAAAATCAGAGTGCAAAAAGAGAAGGTAAACGTCATCATGCCCTGCATTATACTCTCAGGTTCACACACCAGCGCTTTACCTTCAAAACAAGATAAGCCGAAACTTGAAAATTTTAAATCTTTATTGTGTTTTAGACGCTACCCATCATCATCCTTTTTATGCGTTTTTGCCGTGCAGCGCTAGAGCGCTGCAACAGGCAACAAAAACGCATATTGCAAC